CTTCTAGTTACAACCTTTGTACTCAGTTGTTAAGCCTTTTAAAATTTTGCATGTGTAGGATATGAGACGAAATATTTTTTTAGGTTTTATATATACTGTTGAATAACCAAATCTTAAATTATTATATCACTACCATAGAATTCCACTATAATTTATCAAGCTTAGTAACTATACTGTATTTTAGTCTAAAAAAATATCGAATTACGAGCAGAGTAAGGACACAACCTATCCAAACATGTTAAAATGGCTGAGAAAGCCACTAGGGGGACATTTTGAGTTTTTGATTGATTATTCATGTCATATATAGAAGTAAGTGTATAAACGGAGCATTTCCAAAAATAGAAAAAGGAGGTGGTTGGGGTGTTTGATTTATTACAAGAGCAATATCTTAGAAAATTGAAAAGATAAGAAGCTTTTATTATATATTCTAGCTTGTCAATATCAGTAATTTGAGTTCCTAATTCGTACGAAAGTATAGATGTAGTATTTTGGCATCACAAACATCTAATTTGAACCAGTGTTGCATTCAACATACCACGTGACACACACAAAGCAATGTTTAACTGTTTGTTTTTTATATTTACTCTTAAACTAAAAAATTGAGTAATGTATAATACTAAAATATGAATTATAATCTACAGTTTGATACCAAACATATTGACATAAGTTCATGAAATAGTAGTTTAATAAAATTTTGAATGCGAGTCAATAAACGGGATGATATGGCCTTTCATCCATGACCCGTCTGGAAAAGATTAACCTACTTTTAGGTTAGTTAAAAAGCCAGATAAATAATAGTAGTTTTGGGACATTTTATTCTTGTGTCTTTTACTTTTTGTGTGTTCTTAAATGAATATTTGAAATTACATTAATTATTTTTTGAGAACCATCATACTGAGATAAAATTCACTTAATAAACGATGCACCCAAGTGCAAAAAGCCTCAAGGCTAAACTAAGTCAGAAATTTCTTTAGTTTTGTTTGTATGTTTTACTTATTGACATATTTTTTTAACAAAAAAAACTAGAAAGTAAACATCAGAATTTATTAGGTGAAATAATAAAAAAAAATTCTTGAGGAATGTGCACAAACTACCATCAGGTGATTTAGTTTAATAGTTTGCTTACCCTTACTTATCCTAAGCTTTTAAAGGGTGATTTATTGTGGTAATTAGACATGGTTTAAAAAGCAACAAATTTAAATTAAAGTAGATGTAGGACTGTGAAGACCCTAAGGCTGTTAAGAATAAATAAATTGAAATTTACTTTTGTAATCTATAGTCATTCTAGAAAAAATTATCTTTAATTTTCTTCATATTTTTCAATTTTGCTATGGATGATTTTGCTACAGTTAGTGTCATGGTAAAGAAAATAAAACAAAGTTTAAATTTTCACCCAAAAAAGATTTGATGTTCAGTTATAAGGTTGTAGAACTTATGCAAATGAAATTGAAAATTTTAAGTTGAAAGAGAGTATATTTTATTCGTAGCATGAAAAATATTTTCACTTAGACTGACTTAGTAAAGGCTTCATAAAGTTAGACAGATCTTTAATAAAAGTACCTTATTGAAAATTTTGATTTTTTGTGTTAACAGACTTAATGTAGAGTAAAAGCTTGAAAAATTTCATGAAGATACACATAGTACATTCAGAGGTATATAGTTTCATGCTTAAATGCTGGTTACATGCTCAGTCTAAATGACTCCACCGATATATGGTTAACTGAAGGTGAAGGTTGGAATTACAAAAAAGCCAATAAAATATGAACCTGTATATCTTTGTCTTTGAATTTGGTTGTTTTGTTCTAGAATAATGTATTGAGAAGTCTTGTAATTTCATTCAGACAAAATGCAGAATCCTGTTTTATCAACATATCCCGATTAAGAGATTCAACTTTTTTTTTGTCTTAGACGTCTTGAAAAGCATGATGTTCTTTTGAAAGAAAGTCTTCAACGTGTACAGCTCCAACTTGCTCGTTACCATTGGCTGTTTGAGGATATACTAGCACAAGGAAACGTTGGACCTTTACAAAACCTCACTGCGTATGGCAGATCAACTCTTATGTCAGAAATGAGAAAAGTATGTACCAAGTTTTATTCGTGTGATAATGATTTAATCTTTAAAAAAAATGCACTAAAGTGGAGTAGAGCTGGGCAATTAATGGAAATTACTCACTGATTAATTGTCAGGCTCATTAATTGATTACAATCGCATACGATGGCTATTGAAAAAACTAAATGCTAAAAATCAGGTTTTGATACCCATGGTAGGGAGAGCACAGACATTTTGTTGTTTAGCTTTTTAGTTAACAGCAAACATAATGATAATATTTCAGTTACTTGGATTGGTGAAATAATAAGAAACCCTAATTTTGATTATTTTTGTGAGGTGTGATACTAATCAATTAAGCTGAACAATCTTGAATTAATTTAAAGTAATTAAAAATCGTGATGATAATATTTTGATAACTTTATAGCTGGAATAATTGAAAACTAATTTTTATTAATTGATTATTTTTGTGATATTAATATATATTGAATTATATTTTTAATTGCTGGAATAATCAGAAACACTTATTAATTTAATCGATACACACAGGTAATAGATTATGTCAGTTAGTAATGTTAATTTCCCAGCTGTAAAACAAGTAATCATTACTTTTAGTGGGTGGAGGAGATACATTATGATGAGCACCAAATAGTATTTATTTATTATCTTTAACTAGGCAGTACAGACTTTGTTGTCCTTGGAGTCTGCTGTTTCTCAGAGTCAGGATCGTTATTTGTCCGTGACAGCCAGTGTGGAACAAAGATTGAAGTGGGCAGCTGGGGCTAACCCCTCTTTAGCCAGTACACAAGAAGAATTTGAAGCAGGAATTACAGAGAAAACTGCAACCACATCAGTAGGTTTCTTGCTGGATTTGTAGTTATTTGGCTTAATAAACCATCAGTGTCATTTGTTTTACATGGCTATATTTTAAAGTTTTAGATCCAGTTAAATCAACCAATCAAAAAATTTTGTGTTATGAGAAAATAGCAAAAGATATTAAGGTAACTGACATGGTGGCTTTTATGATAGACTAAACAGCATGTTAAATTTAGTTGGATTAAAATTAATGAACAATTTATTGGGCTTTATGGAATGAAGTATTCTAGGCTGGTGTTGTATATTATTAATTTTGGGAGTTATAAAGGTTAAATTTGTTGTATTCAAACTAGTGAACAGTTTATTGGGTTTTTTGGAGTGAAGTATACCAGGCAGATGTTATAGACTATTAACTTGGGGAGTTATAAAGGTATAAGACATTCAGTCTGAATAAAGAAGATGATAAGAAATTCTAGTAAACCATGTGTAGTGAAGATGAAGTTAGAACAAGAACAAATATGATTAAATCATTCTAATTTTAAAACAGTGTCACTTTGAGGATATACTAACACCAGATAGTCGTTGAAACAGTGTCGCTTTGAGGATGTACTAACACCAGATAGTTGTTGAAACAATAACGTGAGGAAAGTAATAACAGGAGGTTTTGAAGTTGCATCATGTGAAGACATTAGTAACAAGTTGTTGTATAAAATGAAGTCAATTAAAAACATTAGTAACAAGAAGTTATATGAACAGTGTTGTGAGAGGAAACTAATTATTGATAGTTATATAAACAGTATTTCATTATGAGACTAGTAATGGGAAGTTATTGAAACTGTCATTTGAGGACTGTACTAATAGGAAATAAACTGTATATTAATTGAGGAAAATCATGAATTAGGATGTTTTAATAGTTTTATGTACAACTTATATTTTCCAATCAGCCATGCATTAGCTCCTTTACACTGTTATTTTTCATTTGGTATTTTCCAGCTATTAAGATACATGAATATGCCAAATTATGCATGCTAAAATTACAAACAGAAATAAAAAAAAAAAAAATCCTAATTGTGTTTGTTCTGTGAATATTACTGTTTGATATATATAAAAAAAAAAAAAAAAAAAAAAAAATAACAAGAATGAAATATAGCTGTGTAGTTCTCTTTCTGTACTTTGAGAAGTTCATCTCTTCTGAGTTTTGAGAAACCTAATATAAATGTTATAGTAGCATCTGTACTTAATGTATGAAGTCGTTATAACCTACTAGTAGCACATATTTTTATTTTATGTGATTTTTGTTGATGTTAAATGTCAAAAACATGTCCAAGTATTTTTATTTCACAGTTTAAAGTAAGTCATCAAGCTTTTTTTTCCCCTAGGCCACTGCCCAGCTTTCTCGGGAATTAATGAACGTATGTAATGCAGTTCTTCATTTCGAAGCTATGAGAACTCGAACTTCAGAAGCCCTGGCCTCAGACAGCTCATTTTTAAATCTCATCAACAGGTTGTTAGATTTTTACAGAAGCTATAGTTATTAAATTGTAATATTTGACATTATAATATTGTTATTACTGACAGTTTTGGAAAATATTGTCATAAACTTAGAAATAGCATAAATTATGACATTTATTTTTTCACAAAATAATTCTGTATAACTGAGTAGCTAGTTTTCTCCAAAACCTGTAGCAGACTTTACCTTTAATAGTATAATAATACAATATTCAATATAGTAGTTCAAACTTTTCTCCAGTAAAATCAATATAAAACAGTTTATTTAAATAGTTGTAGAACAATCTTTTGACAAAGTTCAGATATATACACAACACTGTAATTAAATTCTTTTGCTTACTTAATAGCTAATAAAGTGGGACTTGTTAATTGTTTTTATTTACTTATGTTGTAGGTTAAAAAAATTACATCGTGATATTGTATTTAGTTTTAGGCCTTAAGTAATGAGCTCCAAGATGTAAATAAATGAGCATAAACAACAAAAACATATTTTGAATGTTACACAGTTATATTAAAATTTAAGATTAGAAATTTATCACATTAGATAGATTCTAGTTATATGTACAATAACATAAATACTTTTTTTTTATATAACTTGTTATTATTAGATATAAGTAAATGATAGAAGTGATAACTGTAGATATTTGTTCTTTTGAAGTTATGATGATGTTTGGAAATACAGATAAAGGAAAATGTACAAATTTTGCCAAAAATAAAAGAGAAAACATAAATACACACATAAATGTTTTAGTTGCCAGATTCTAGCCATACAAGTTTTGGAAATATTGCTTTGCTTTTATGTAAAATAAGTGTAAGGAAACTGTCTGTTATTTCCTAAAGTCTTAAGAGAGACTTAAAAACACTATTTGCATAAATATGTTTTTGACTTAAAAGAAGTATTTCAAAATGTTTTTAAATTTGGAAAATAACATTAGCAATGTAAATTGTTTCTTGTATTTTAAGACAGTCTTTAGAAATAAACAGACATGTGTTGATATGGAATTAGAAATTCATTTGAAAATAAGTACTGAATTTTCTTTTTTAAATCAACAACATTTCTGAGGTAAACTACATGTATAGTTTGCTTGTTTTGTTTTTCTGCTATGATCTCTGTGTGGTGTCCAGCCTTGGAGCTCCAGTTTTAGTGTAATTATTCTTTATGGTGTACATTTCAGCCGATTGTTAGTTGGAAAAGTGTATTGAGGTTGTCTGATTTTTGACTATTATTCTCATTTCCTAATTTTAAAATCATAGTCTTTTTATTTAAACAAAAATGCTTACTGTTGAGTGCAAGTAGAACTATAGATTTCAGAGCTGTGAAGTCTGTTTTGATTTCATATGATGCCACAAAATATTGCCCTCCATTTTTCAGCTATGGGTGCATTATAAGAGTGACAATCAATCTCTTATCATGGATGTTATGATGTTGCTGATTGATTGCCTTCCTTCTGGTCAGTAGTTCAGAATTAGAGGTGACATCAGAGTCTTAGTAGTAGCTTTGAAATAAGTACAAAAATATTAATACTCAAAACTGTTGAGAGGTACATACAATTAATATTGTTGTAGTTGTTATAATATAGGTAGCTAATTATTGTTGCAATTGTTATGAGATAGCTAGCTTGTTATTGTGGTTGCAGTTGTTTTTATACAGATTTAACACCAAAAGGAAAGATATCGGCAATGGTTTCTTTAAAGTGTCATAACAAATTTCTAAACTACTGTATATCATGTGTGGTTCATCATATTCCTCAGAAATATTATATAGACACACTGTATGTCAGGAAGAGCTTTTTTTCCTGAAAGATTTAGTAATCACCCCAAACAGTACTAGAAAACTTCTAGGAGGCTACATAAGTGTGTTTCCTGTATCTCGTTCCTCATAAGTTAACATTTTCTACACAAATGTACTTTAAAATGTTAATTAAATTCTGGAGAACATTGCAAGTATAAATTATGTAATTTAGTAAATAGTTATGTTTCACCATAGATTCCGAGAATCCACAAAATGTTTTGTGCATATTTTGTTTAAGGTTTGTAAAGTTTCTACCATGGAGTGCTAGAAGAAAATATCGCTGTGATGAGCTCTTCAGAACTGTCTTTTACCTTGTAAATAATAATTAACTACAAAAAAAATAATTAAATCTGATTATTTGTCTCAGAATCAGCATAGGTTCAAACTGATAGAACATATGAAACCAACAGACATATGTACAAACAAAAATGAGCACAAGCTTCAGTGGAGATGTTGTAAGTGATAATATAACATACTTCTGTGAAAAAGTTATTACATTAAAACCAGACAGAGAAAAAAAAAAGTTTGTTTATACATTAAGCAGTTATTGTTAATTGTATAATGTCTCTTTTAGAAGTCAAGAAAGCTGTCTGTTAGCTGATAATTGTGTGAGCCAAGTCACCAAGCTAGAAGAACAACTTTTAGATCTACAGGTAAATAACTTATCATTATCAATCTTGAAATATTTGTAATCATCCTCCTGTTGTTTTTTGTTGCATTGTTTGAATACTGTATTTCATTCAAAGAAGAAACTAATTGCTGTTGAACCAAAAAGAAATGGGGGGGGGACTATCTTAAAAAAAACAATACAAGTGTTTGACTTGGAAATCAAAAGATTTCGATAAATTTCCTCATTGAAAATATAGTTTATAACCTAGCATAGTGGTGTGAATAGTTCAAGTGTTAAGTGCATATTATTTACTTTCTCTGCTGGGGATGTGATTACAACAATTTCTTAATTTCTTTGTGTTAGTTGGAGGAGGGGCTAGCCATTCCTAATGTAACTCAGCCTTTAACGTAGAGCAGAAGGCTTAATGTAGATATCACACAATGTTAATAACGATACACAATCAAAAACAATTAATATAGATTGAATAGTGAATATTGTAATCTGTCTACATCACGGTATAATATAGGTTATGGTTTTAGCAGTAATTTGTGGTTTGGCTATATAATAACCAGCTGGAATATTTACATGATGTGAACAAATTGTCTGAATCCAAAGTTACAGGAATAGTTTTCTATAACAAGACATCACATAAAGGTAATTTAGGTTTAGCTTGCTAACTTGAAATGGCATATTGCTTGGGTGATACAAATCCTTTTTTTATTAAATATAATAAGTTTATTCAATTTAAACATCACACAAAAATACAACAACATGTTTATTGCAATCAAACTACAGCTGTTAGATATAAATCAATCTCAACCAAAAGATATTGATGGCAAATTATTGTGATACAACTAGAAAGGTAACATTTTCAGAATGTGAGGTCATAGTTCAATAAATCTTAGTAATACAGTGTTTGTATAATTTTTTTGTGGGGGAGTTGACTGGGTGAAACTGATTGAATATATAACATGGAAATTAATGATCGAAACAGCGTTTTAGAACAAAAATTTTTCCTGTTCAGACTAGATACTACTTAAAAAGTGTTTACCAGTTTCACACAAATTGATTAAGCATTTAAAGCATAAGAATGAAAAACCAGAGTGTCGGTAACATCCTGCCAGTGAAAATTAATTTAAGAAATATACATTTTGTACTTAACGTAATGTTAGATAAATCAGACCTCCTAGCAAGACTTAATATTAAATTAATGTAATCTATTTTATCTCTAAAACCTGTAGACTTTTAAGTCAACTACACAGATTTGCTTGAAAATGTTAGCAACTCTGAAAACTCTCTAGGAATTCAATCGAGCGTACAACGAGTAGACACATAGTCAGTGAAAGTCTCCATACACTGTAGTGTTGAGGTTAAGTTCATATTTCACAGCCTGTGTGAATTTTTTGTTGGGTTTTTAGCCTTATCATAAAAATATTTTAATATTTAGTATTAAGAAAAACATACACTTTAGAACTTAAAATAATTTTCTGTATTTTGATGTTTGGCATCAGTACTGGATTTGAGTATGAAAATTGACCATGATTGTTAGCTGTATGTAGGCATTTAAAAAAAAAAAAGTATTGTTCTGAATTTTACCACTAATGATAAACGTACTTGAGTGTGTTTTTTGTCATGATTAAAATTATTTTAAATGTTATGAATATGTTTTGGGGGCTTGTATTTGTATCATTCTATCAATAATCTATGAATTGAATCTTCTTGGAGTTTTCAGATGGCAGTGTTTGAAAGTTTCAACACAGAGACCATTAATCTCAAAACTCTCAACAAAAGTCAAACAACAGTTATAAATGTTTCATAAATGGGATTACTTCAACTAAATTTTAATGTTTTACATTTCAAACAGTGTTTTTAATAGTGTTTAAAAAGTACTCTGTTTCAGAATGAAGAAGCAACTTGCATATTCATATTGGTGACACTTTAATTACTCACCAGTTTGTGATCATCTGTTAATTATTCAGTGGTGGACAGTTGTTTTATCCTTTGATTAACATAATTTGTTAATCTTGTATCTTTTTCTATTGTTTTTTAGCCATTACCTGAAACTGGTGGAATTACTTCAGATTGGATAACCAGCATCTTGGAAAAAATTTCACAGTCTCTGGCAAAGAGCAAAGAAAAACTTGAACAAAAAGAAGTAGAAAGCTTTACTCACTGGGTAAATAAATGTGTTAATGCACAAAAAAGTGAACTTTCTAAAGATATCTTTATTTTCTTTTTATTACATATTTTACAGTTGAATTACCCTTAACATTCCTTTCACCATGCCAGTTTTTATTTTTGACTCAAACTTTCCTTATTAATTTATTATTGAGTCATAATATTTCAGAGACGTAATAATGTCTTTCTCTTCTTCAAGAAAGATGGCTTGTTGGAATCAGCTTCTTGCTTTAATTCTGGATAAGTTGCTGGAGAGGAGGTTTACTGAAAAAATTATTTAAAAGTACAAATTTTTCTGTTTGAGACATGTAAAAAAGAGTGACAAAAAAGAATTTTTGAAAGTAACAGTTAAGACCAAGAATGTTAAGTAATTTTGAAAACTAGATTAGAATTTTCTATATCAGTTATTTCAGTGAGTTGCTTTACTACCTATAGAGAAAGTACTGTTATCTAACTTTTACAAACATCTGTATATGTTTTAGAATTTTTTAGTCTTGCTGAACAGAGTATTATTTTGTTATGCTCGTGTTTGTGTGTGTATCTTCAGGATACTAATGTATGTTAATTTTATTGTTAGGAAAATTTAGGATATATATATTTCCTGCTTTTTACACTTTGTATTAAAAATAAACTTAATGTATGCATTAATATATTTGTGCTGGAATTTTTTTAAATGTGAAATGTTATTAAAATATTTTAATATTGTGTTATATTTTTGATCTGTTTTTAAATCTTTTGCAATTAATTTGGTTTTCTGCTAACCCTTTTTTTTTTATCTTTAGGATGTGGTGAAGAATCATGTCATATCTATCCGTAGCCTGTTAACCACTCATTATAATCTGATGACAGATGTTCGAAGCATCTTGAAGTCTTTAGCAAAGGTAAATGTTTCATATTTTGTGTGTGTAAATGTTCTAGAAACTGTAGTTCCTTGTGTTATCTTTTATGCTGACCTTGTTATCAAAGCTAGAACTTTTATTTTATTTGTGATAATGAACAGCATGAAGAAGTGACACTGAAAGAAGAAGATCAACACATAGGGTCTGTCCAGCAGTACTTGTTGAAATATCGAAGTTTTTCAGAACAGATTTCTACCATGGTTCGGGAGGTTCTTTCTGATGTGAGTGAACATGACCCACAGAAAGTAAATAAAATCAGAGAAAAGCTTGCACCTTTGCCTTCCCTAACAGTTGATGTGTACAATGGTTTGATAGAACTAGCTGGGCCAGTGGGTTCCCATTCTCATCCTGTTTTTACCTGCAGTGTATCAGACGGTAAACAATTTTTTTTATTTTCAGTAGCATAATCATCAACTTCTCATTCAAACACTTCATCTGTTCCATTCATAGATCGATTATACAAATAATTCAAGATAATATTTTCATTGCACAGAATATTTAGATAAGTGTAAAAATTACATGTTCTAACAAATTCTGAAAATGTTATTTTTATTATTATTAATAATGGTTTTAAGACTGCTTCAAGCAAATTTTTACTCTTGCACTGACTATATGAAAAGACTCTGTTGTAGAGTTTTACTGATAATACAATATGATAACAATAGCTGCAGCAGGAAAAACTCCTAATTACCAGAAGGTAAGAGGTGAAAGAACTGTAGTGGGGAAAAAGCTACTGCCTTCAGTTCGTGATGGAGATCTGTACTCTGAGCCATCACCGGGAAGTCAAGGAGCAGGACTTCGTCCACTTTCTACTCCCATTCCAGATAAAACCAAAAAATCCAATGTTTTCAGAGACCCTAAGACTGGTAAAGGTATGGTTTGAAAATATTGTTCCTCTGATTTGATTTTTGTTTTTCTGTGAAAGAAATGTAGCTTCTCTTATCCCTAATCCTCTGGTGGGACAGCTTTAAATCTACAGACCTGCAACGCTACAATCTGGGGTCTGATTCCCCATGTTGGACACTGGATAGTCTAATGTGTCTTTGCTCTAAAACAAAGAAATATACTTAACCCTCTCACTATGAGCTTGGTGGGTTACATTGACCTTGTGACCTTCAGAGTTTCTGTACTATAACTTTTAGTATGTTTTGTGTATCTTTACAAAATTTGTAAAGCTTTCAGTAAACGTTACAAGTCTTGTACACAAAAAAAATCAGATTTTGTAATTAAATTTGTCTGTAAATATGTCGTCACATCAGTGTTGACTGCTCAGATTGCAAAGTGATTTTCATGTTAAAAAAATATATATATTTTTCATTACCTGAAAATTGTCAAATTTCATTTAAATAATCTCTTAAAAACTCCAAAATATGTCAAATGTTTTTATTTTTCAATAAAACTTTAGAATTTATTTTACTTTCTCTATCCTAACTCTATAATACATTTGGTCAATTTGACTGACTTTGTAACTTCCATGAAAAAAATACTAAATAAATCTAAATTATGCTTTTTTCTTTCCAGAGTGATTGCAGATTGTAACAGGAAACTTTAATTGTTTATTCTAAAGAGTTTAAAGCTAATAACATTATACATTTATTGTTTTATTGCCCTTTGACCCGTGTCTAACTAATAATCCCACCACACAAATTGTACATCACTCAGTGGACTTGCAGCTCAAGTTACCTTATTGAATTATGTAATGCATGAGCTGCTCGCAAACATTATTATTTTTTATCTTATCTAACCTAACAAGTTTCTAATTTTCACATTTTAGTTACTTTTATAATAATAAATAAAGAATATACATGAAAAATAAGAAATATGGTACTTACAGATGGCTATCTAACTATTTAAACTTTGGCTTTCTATTGGTTATAAACAGTATAATATAAAACATCAGAGAGAACTATTGGCAATTTGTGAAAAGAGGATGTGACAGGTGGACGTGGCAAGTGGGTCTGATTTTCTAGTTTATGGCTCCATAACAAATTAATATTGTTGGCTGTAAAAATTATACTTTGTATTAGTAATAATATCTATTTTAATTATTTTAATGAGTAATTTACATTAAATTCTGTACTTCTCAACTTCTCAGAAGGGTAGAAAATAAATTGGAGAAGAGGGAAGGCTTAGAGAACAAATGTCAAAATTCTCATACTAAAAGAGGTTAAGAATCTTGTGAGCATTTCATTATAAAATTAAGAGCTTAAAACATATAACATTCAAATTTGATTTATTAATTACATTTTGATGCCAAGTTTATGTGTATACAATGAGAATAAAGTAATTTAAATTTTGAATGTAACTCTAAAAAACCATGACATGCACACTTTGACCTACCTGTAGTGAGAGGGTTAAGCCATTCCATCAACTGCAGTAGGTAAACATCATTAACTATCCAAAGCCAATACTTACGCCTCTGGGTCAGTCCACCAAATATAACCATTTACCAATCCAAAGCTGATATTTAGAACTTTAGGTCAGTTCATCAATTGTAATAGTTAAATATCGTTTCCAATCCAAAGCTAGCTGTTAGTTCTCTAGGTCATCCATCAGCTGTAACATTAAACATCTTACCCATTTAGAACTTACAGCTAGACTTGTGGACAAATTGTAACATTTAGATGTGAGCTAACCCATTGACTGTAACTTGTAAACAACTGAACTTTTCACAGTCTGCACAGTTTATGTAAGTTTTCATCAGCAATATTGCTAACTAATATATCACTGTTTATAAAACAGTAAAAACTTATTTTACATTTTTTTCAGTTGTTCAAGAACGAAATAGTTATGCTACAAATGTGTGGAGACGAGTGAAAGTGAAGTTGGATGGCAAGGATCCTGACCTTAATCGACGGTTATCAGTTGCTGAACAGGTAATATTAACTTAGTAGTAATAAAGTTTTTTTCACCTTGTATCTATGTCCATGTTACCTAATGATAAGAGCTCAGAGATGTTTCTAGAAATAGAAATTGTATAAATTACAGAGAGCATAGAGTCAAGCTTTTTTGATAATTAAAGGAAAACTAGTTGTATGAGTTGAAGTTCAATAATGACAGGGGCTCAACATGGAAAGGTTTCAAATGAAATATAGATAACTATTAATGTTTAAAAGAGTTTCATTTAGAAGAGAAGTTGCATTAGATGAAAAATAGTTGTTTGTTGATTGGAAATAATGAGGTTAGGTACCATTACATTATACTTCATTATAAAAAAATACCTGTAAAATCTTTTGATCTTTCTGAGTGACTTTGTTATACATTATAAGCTGGTGTAATTTTTCTTAACAGTTAGTCAGTGCATTACGGATGTTGATACAGTTCTGTGTACAGATGTGATAATGAAATCAGATATATTTCTTTGTTTCAAAAAGATATATATTTAACTATTGGAAAAAGTTTTGTAAAGAATTTTTCAAATTATTACAAAATTATAATTATTTCACTAAATTTTAAGAATATAGATTATCACTATTAGTAATATAGGAGGTGACAGTTCAGCCATAATTACTTTGTGATTAAAAAATAATTACACTTCTACTATTACTTATATATTTGACATTTTACTGATAGTTCAGCCATTATTACTTGACTTTGTGATTAAAAAAAATTACACTTCTACTATTACTTATATATTTGACATTTTACTGATAGTTCAGCCATTATTACTTTGTGATTAAAAAAATAATTACACTTTTACTATTACTTATCTCTTTGACATTTTACTGATAGTTCAGCCATTATTACTGGGCTAAATGGTAAAAAAAAAATTACAGAAACATTTTATTTGTCATCCAGTGACATTGTACTGACAGTTCAGTCATAGTTAGCTTTCTTTTTATCATTAGTTCTTGTAACAACAGAGTTAATTTGACAGCAAGTTTAGAAAAGAGCAAAAGAAGTTACAAAGGTAATCCAATCATTATGAATAAAATTATTCTCCAAATAAATATCTTTATAATAGAAACAACTATATTTCAGCCTGTATTTGTCTTATTAATGGGTTTTTTTGAAGCATAGTTAAAAATTAAGTTTATAAATTTAGAAAATTGAAACTGTATAAATACTTTTTTTATTATTCTAGTAACATAAGGAGCCAGTGTTATTGGCTAACTTTTAACATATTTTAATTATGATTATATTTATGACAAACAGCTGAAAGATTGTTTTGGTGTAGAGTATGCATTTTATTATATGACCAGAACTTTAACAGGGTGACTGTTGTTAAACAGTGTTAATATTTAACTTGTTATGTGATAGGTTGATTTTGTCATCAAGGAGGCTACCAATATGGAAAACTTGGCTGTGCTGTATGAGGGGTGGACACCCTGGGTGTGAAATTAATAAGTAGACACCCCCTGTGTGGGGAGAAGCCTTCATCAACATCGCCAAACAGCTGGGTTGTGTGATGTCACACGTAATCCCAGGCATCCTTGTTCCCACCACTAGAGGACGTTTTACCGTGGCCACCACATATTGTTCACCACCAGATAGCACCACCATTGCCACAGCAGCTAGTCGACCATGCCAGACCTTTCCTTTGCCAAGTGGGGGGAGAAAGGGATTGGGATATCAGCTGCTATTGAAATCTGAGTGGTTGAACCAACGTCCAGGTGGTGGGACCTCCTCAACAAATGGCTTTAGTAGAGTGAAGAACCATCAGCCACCTCAGATAGGTGATAAACACCAACATATAACTTGAGTGAAGAGTGCACAAAACACAAACTTAGTCAATCAGACAAATAAAACTTTAAATGCTCTAGTGTTTAGTTCCATTTTGGCTGATGTCTTGCATTTCTCTAACTTTATTTACAGCTGTCAAGTATCTGTATTTTAGCTTTAATATATTTGTGTTTGTATCCTTATTTGAAAACCTAATGGTAGTATTGTTCATCATTGGCAGTGGAATTTGGCTTATGCTGAAAAATATTTAAAATTCCAAAACAAAAACTTTTCAACCTTTATTTAATTTTTACTGGTTATTCAGTTTTATTGTAATGAAAGTAGGTTATATTTGTTATGGTTGCAATATGAATGGTGGGATAATATTAATGTTCTTAGTAGTATATTGAGCATGAAATACTTTTCCTTTAGAAAACAATGTGGTGATGCTAGTAACTTGATAGTTAGTTAGAATGCCTCACTTATCTTGTTAAACTGCTGGATATTAGTCTGGAGAGAAGATTTCTTTATAGCATCTCAAAATATTTAAATAAAGTTAAGATTCACACAAATATCCCTTTACTGTTCACTAATAAAGGGGTACTACAAGACTGACATTTCATATTTAACTGTAATGGTAAAGTGAAGACACTGTCAGAATCAATGATATATCTGTACTGCTCCTGTAACAGAAGTACTGCTTGCAATACAGAAAATGTTTCCTGGCTCAGTTTCACATGACTATTTTCAAGGTGGAAAGATACAAGTACAGGATTGTACTGTGATTTACTCCTTAGGCCATTTTTTACTTGATATAATAATCTTCAGAGTAAGAAGAAAGATACTTGTATACCTCTGTGTTCAGATGCATGTACTACTGTATTTATCGTGAACACTATTATCTGACAGTGTTTGTGATGTTCAATGTGGGGACAATTAACACTGTTGTACCTTCTACAACTAACGTTACCCGATTCTATTCTTTTGTACTAATGTGGAAAAAGACATTCAAATACATGATTTTTTTTCATTATTATGGTTTTTCTGGTTTTAATGTACTTTGTCTTTAATCCATATTATGTTTGCAGCTAACAAATCACTTTCTTTGGGTACATTGAATCCTTTGGCTAGTGTCATGTTTATGTCTGTGACAGAGAATACTGAGCCATAACGAAAAGTGTTGGAAGTCTAGAAAGTCATCTGATAACTTCCTGTCATTCCTACATCATATACATTCATACACTTTTCCTAAGATTCAGCTGTACGTAAATAATGCAATATTTATGCATTCGTTACAAACATGGACTTACTCTGATGCTTAGACCTTTTTCTTTCTGCTGAAATATTACAGATTACAGGATTAGTTTAAAGTACCAGTTATTAAAAAAGTGTTAGGAATGCTTGGGGGGGGTGCTTATTTTGAAACATGAAAAATTTGCATTAGTGGTTCTTAAAGTTTAAGTATGAAGTTACTAGCAGGTAACAATCATATTTCAACAGTTGAGTTTGAAAATATAATATCTAAGTGGTATTTACTTATCTCTAGTGTATCTGTATATATGATGGTTTCTTTCAAGGTAGTGGTAACATTTACAATTTACTTCCCTGGTGTTTCTGCTTTGGTTGATGAAACAGTGAAAAAAAAAGTGAAATTATTTTTATCAGTTACACCTCTATAAGTGACTTTGAGAGGAGGATAAGATTAGAAAACGAGTTATGATTTTATTCTTTTTAAAATAAACTTTGTAAATTGTGTACTTTTTTTGATTCTGCCTGTTTTCAAAAAATATTTTAGTAAAGTATTTTACCTGTTAAAAGCTTTTGTTTGTGTGTAATTAGTGCCTAGAGTAAGGATGGAAGGTTAGCTAATTTAAAAGAATTTGTTCAAGTAAGGAGGGCATAAGCCAGTGTTCTAGAACAAATCTTTGTTGGACTATGGTCATTGTGTTGTATGTAGAATGTCTCATTAATTCAATATTGTGACTAGTTCTGGAGTGAGATACTGTGCAAGTAAACTAGAAGAATTTTATTTCTCAGTTTAAGTAGGCACTTTCATATGTGTTTTGGTGAATCTTATAGAAATAACTTTTGTGTATTTTTATGATCATAATTACTTAATGTGTGTGTGTGTATAGATTTGTAGGATCAAATAAATCATTGTTCAATAAAGCATGATGCCCACTTGTTGAAAAACATAAAGCAATTTCCTGTTAAATTTCAGACATGTCTGACTTTTTAAACAAATAACAGGACCTGACAATTTCCCACAGTACTTAAGAAGTGTTAATATTCAAGTTAGTTAAAACACCAGTAACTTTATATTTATATTGAATTTGATTACAAAAGCAGAAAGTGTGTTGGTTTTTGGTTTGTTTATTCAGTATGTCAAAGTATTGCATTGGTTTCACATGTATGATGTTACTCTAAAAGTTGTTTATATTCAGATTATTGAAGTTCCTTCTTTTTCATGTTATGTGACACTGGTGAATATTTTGAATTAATTTATTAATCAAACTACCTAATTTTTATCCACCCCAGTCAAAGTTTTAGACATGTTGCTCAGATAAACAGTCTTCATTTTTATTCATACACAACTAATAAACTTCTCTTATACAGTATTTGATTATAGCATGCAAGAAGTCATGTAAAGAGAAAGGATTCAACAAATTAACAGATATTGTATGCTCATAAATCATTACTTTTCGCATAACAAAAAAAATATTTATACGTTGTGAAACTGACAAGAAAACAAAATTAACCAGATAACAGTCATCAAAGAGACAATATTAGTGGTGTATTATAAAACAGAAAAACAAAGTTTGTGTGTGGCTGGATTATTAGCTGCTCCTATTTTTTGAGGTTAATTGGCAAAGGCAGTTATTCCAAAAGACTAATGGTTAGGGAGCTTTATGTGCAATCTGCCATTCACGGCTACTAATCCCATTGCCAAACATGCTCACCCTTTCAGCCAAGTAGCCATCATAATCTGATGGTTAATCCCATTATTTTATTAGAGTAGAACAAAACTTTGCAGTGAGTGGTGTTGACTAGCTGTCTTCCCTTTAGTACAAGGCTATTACATTATTTTCTTTTACTCTTAGTGTTTGCTACATAACCCATTGCTCCCTGCATGTTACATCACTGCTTGGCCACACACTATCTCACTTGTTGTGTGTCACTATTGAAACACTTGAGATGAAGTCAAGAAATCTGTTATTGCTTCTATTTCAGTCTTCAATTCATTTTCCTAACAAAAAGATGTCATCATGACAGGTGGTTGTAGACTTGCTGTAACCATTTGTTTTAATTTTGATAAAAACAGTAACATTGGTTTTTATAGATTTCCCAGAAAAGATAAACATTTGTTTAAAACTTTGGTTGATACATGCAAAAGAGCAGACAAACTTTATCCAATCAGTAAGAATAGTCATGAATGTTTGGACCACTTTAGAAGTGACTGTTTTGAGAAACTTAAAAGCTGAACTCCTTGGTTGCAAAAGCAAACAGAGATTGAAGCCAGGAGCCATTCATTCTCTCCAATTACTGTTGTCATCAAGTACAAGAATTGCAAATGATGATGAAACGTTGTAAAGTGAACATGCAAAATCGACCAAAGAAAAACCTGATAAATTATATCATCTGTTCATCATCTGCTTCAGGTTCTCAAAAAAGAGACAGGAGATCAAAGTTCTTTGATGGATTCAAATCGTAACAATTTAGTGCTGGAACCTGAAGTTGCCATTGAAAATCAGATATGAGTTATAAATGGAAAATACAAGAAAATAGCTGCTTTAAGAGCAAGAATATCTTTGTTGCAGAAAGAAAGAAAATGAATTTGAACTCTGATTACTACATCATACAAGGTACCAAAGGATCAAGGACCCAGCCAGAATATGTGGAAACTGATAAGCCAAAGTAAATAGCATATGTTGCTCAGTTAGTTAATATTCTTATTTAGTTTAGTCAAAACAATATGTTGAGTATGATATCTAAAAGACACATGATTTAAATTTCACTATATGAGGTTCATTAATTCAATAGATGCATCTTTCTTTCATGAAATGATTGCTTTAACAATCTCTGTCAGTGTATGTTCTTTAACACCACATAACATTTTACTAAATTTAAATCTGTTTGTGACCATCAACTTTGCCTTTAGGAAGACTTCCTAGCACATGATCTTGTGTGGATCTTCTGATCATCATAATGATTGGGGAAATGTATATTATATTATGCATTTTTATGTTGTACAGATGTTGTACTTAATCATAATATAGTGTTATATTGCTCAGAAATGTATGCAGTTGCTTCCACAAGTGCTGTACACCTGTTCCATTGTCACATTTCATGTGCATAAAGTGGCCGGGCAGTGACGTCATTTTCAATCGGCCATTCACAATGCAAATACTGTTTGAGCTAGCCTTGTAATGCAAGTTTTGCCTCTTGTCTCCCATTTTGAAATGAAAGACAACCAGTGCAAATAGTTATTTTAAGTATGTGCATGTTCAACTAATTATACTGGAAATTATTAAATACTACTACGTTTCCTTCATTTTAAACAAATTTTCAAAAGTTTTATGTTTGTAAAATAAACTTAATGTAACGTACAGAAGAATTGGGTTTTATATAGAATTATAGGATATTAAAGCAACATCTTAATCAGAAAGATCTATTATTGTTGCTGCTACAAATTTTTCTCAAACACATTTTTTCAAATGGATCTTTTAAGAAGAATTTTTTCTACTAGGATCAGTAAAGTATGATATTTTGGGAAGGTGAACATTTGCTCTTTGACATTGGTGTTGTGATATTTTTGTTTTGTGTTAACTTGTTTTCCTATAAGTATCAGATAGTCAGCTTTAATCAGGCAAATTTTTTGTTGTCTTTCCATATTTGGTATATGAAATCATGGAAAAGAAACACTACAGCAGTTTTGTTATTTCCTAAACAACTTCCATTCATCAATCAAGTTCACACTATAACTATCCAATGCAGAAGAAAACTTAACATTCTTAGAAGTAACCCTAAAAGTCCAAGACTGAAGAATACAGAGTCCTATGCATGACAAAGAATGTAAGTAGCCAATATTTCTCCATTACAAATCACACCACCCAGACCAAGTCAAAAGAAAAAGGAAGGAGAATAAATCAAAACTACTCCACGCTGAATGCCTTTGAAACAGCACAAAAAATCTAAAACACTACTATTGCAGAACAGATACTCTGAATATTACATCAACAATGTTTTCAAATCATAAGAAACAAAAACATTACCACAGCATCAGACCCAAAAACAAAAGACATACATGAAAACACCAACAATGAACATTACTTTAATAAACAAGACAATCGCAACCAAGATTGTAAAGCTCTTAAACAGTCCGAACTGACAATCAACATGATGCAAAATTAGGTAAACACTGAAAGAACTATTACTTTACTTTTCAGACTCACAAACTAAATGTAACAAAAAATAATGCTACACCAGAGCAAAACAAATATGCCAAAATACACACGCATCATACCAGTACACTGAACATAATTACTTTTAGTTTAACACTTGCATACTTTAGTGTATCATGCAGTCTTACAGTTCTTTTTTAACACTATTAGTAAACTTTGTATCCTTCCAACTTTTCTGTCTGTCTGTTTTTGTAGGTAATCATAAAACATATTGTGGTTCTCTTTATTTTAATATTTCATATAAATAATATATGTGATATGTTAATAAAGCTGTATAGTTATTACTATAATTATACTATAATATTAGAACAATAGTGAAACAATAATCATATTCTATACTTTATTAGAGGCACATTACAGCGGGCTCGAGAAATACAATATCACAAGCAGTTTTATAATTTAGCAAATATCAAACAGTTTTATGTACTAACTCTGAAGAAACCACAAGGACGAAATGTCAGTTAAAAGTTCTCTGGAGTGTAAAGGTAATTTATCCTAACTTCACTATCAAGTTTTGGTCTGGAGTTAAGGAAAGTGTTCACTGTTTGATAATTTGACTTAGTTTTCTTAGTATGTGAGAAATAATGAGACTGGACAAGTTTAACACAATCATTATTGTAAAACGAGTAAATGTATTATACATACTTTCACACGTGAAAAGATGGTCTCTTGTTCTGGATTTTGATTAGATACACAACTTTTTCTCTAGCAGAATAGACTTTTGTTAAACTAAACGTGCTGATCTTAAAGTATATCTCTACTCAATGAACTCTGGGTGGAAATTTGAAGAAAGAAAGCAAGCTTCATTTTTAACAGGTAAACTTGGTTGCTTTGTTCAGTCAACAGCATCATTTCATGACCATTTCTCTCTCACAGCATTGGTCGGCCGTGGCATACACACACACTGTTGATTCGGCCATATAAGTATGTTATGGTCAGTAATCATTGAAACCTGGATGCAATATGTTCCTGTAATACCTTCCTGGGGCACAAATAGACATTATCTACTATATAGAACAAGACAATGTCAACGACTTTCTGCACCGAAACTAAATGAAAAACTTAAAAATTGTTATATCACTAAAGCAGGTAGAAAACGCATGTCTGCATATCACTGTTTAGACTCTTGGTTGCCATGAGGGAAGAGCAACAAATCTGTACCATGTATATGGTGTTTCAGGATTCATGTGTTAAGTCAGGTGTCATTGCTTCAAGTATAGACGAACTTCACATTTTCCAAAGCTTGAGAGATTATTATTGAAATCTATAATTCCTTTGAAGGGATTTTGTTTCTGGTATGATTTATTCCTACTAAAGATAGTAGAGCAGTAACAAAAATATATGCACAATATCACAAGAATACTTAAACATGGTTTTTTTTTGTTTTTTTTACTTACCGGCTTAATTAGTATCTAAAGTATTTGTACCATAGTTGTGTTTCGCTTGTTTAATGCTACACTTTATTTTAGATTTTTTTTTTCTCCAAAGAAAAGTGGCAATATTGCAAACTGTATGCAATATATTATTCTTGTTAGTGAACAAAGCGAGACTGGTGTATAATGGGAAGCATATTACACTATTCTTGTCGGTGAACAAATAGTCAGGCTGGTGTATAATGGGAAGCATATTACACTATTCTTGTCGGTGAACAAATACGAGATTGGTGTATAATGGGAAGCATATTACACTATTCTTGTCGGTGAACAAATAACGAGATTGGTGTATAATGGGAAGCATATTACACTATTCTTGTCGGTGAACAAATAGTCAGGCTGGTGTGTAATGGGAAGCATGCTACTTTATTCTTGTTAGTGAACAAATAACGAGATTGGTGTATAATGGGAAGCATATTACACTATTCTTGTCGGTGAACAAATAGTCAGGCTGGTGTGTAATGGGAAGCATATTACACTATTCTTGTTAGTAAACAAATAGCGAGATTGGTTTTAAGTGGGAAGCATGCTACTTTATTCTTGTTAGTGAACAAATAACGAGATAGGCGTATAATGGGAAGCATATTCCACTTATCAGTGGAACTGTGAGGCCGATTTATTTTGAGGATTAGCAAACCAAAGGATTCTAATGTAAGAATAGAAAACTTGTGAAATTTGGTGGCATAGCTACATCAAGGTAAAATACGTCACTGCGTGATAGTTTACTGTTATCCTAAAAATAATAACATCAACGATTAATTACTCACTCAGGATAGTCGATATTGAAATATAAGTGGGGCAGTATACCGAGAAAGTTGCAGTATGAACAATATATGAAATTAGAGGCAGGACGAGTATGTTACTACCTTTACTAAGGAAAATTATGTTGTGTATTTTAATAAACATCAAAGTCAAGGTTACACACACCCAACAAGAGATCTATAAACTCTGAAAACAAATTTTAAAAATCCTGATCTGTCGGTGTGTAGTGTTAAGTATTAGGTCGTCAAGAAATAAATGTCTCGTTTTGGAACACTCTCATTACCCCCCCCAACCCCCAAAAAGAACTACGTTAGTGTACGCCTATATAATGTAGTTAAAGTTTAGTATACTCTAATCCTTTATAGTGATGGCACACGACGACATATACATGCGGCATGTAATGCTGTTTGAATACAAGAAGGGAACAAAGCCTCTGTAGCCACAAAGAATATCAAAGAAGATTATGGAAATGTTTTGAACGTTCGTAAGTGTCAACGATAGTTCATCAGATT